GTGAAACAATGGTGTCAGAGAGCAGATCAATAGTTGTCTAGGGTTGAGAACTGGGAGAAGGGATTAGCTGCAAAGGAGTACAAGGAAAATTTTGGGGGAGGGGTGGAAATGTTCTAAATTGTGATTATGGTGATGGTTACATAACTGTATACACTTGTCAAAACGCATCATGCACTTAAAAATGGTGAATTTTACTATGTAAACTATACTTTGATAAAGCTGATTTCTAAAACCAATAGCAGTCAAGATATAATGAACAACTCTGTGTCGACAATTTAAAATTTACATGGAAACAGGCAAATTCTTTGAAAAACACAAATTACTGTGGTAACACAAAGAGAAGGGCTTCTACAAACGAAGTACATTTGTGAAAAAAGAAGCTAATACTAGCAAACAAACCAGCGTCATACCTGTTAGAAGAATGTAGGGTGTGCAAGTAGGATGTGGGTTTTTTCCCCTTGCTGTTTTGTTTGTTTGTTTTCTTTTGTTTTTAACTAATGTGTTGAAATCATTTTTATTGTTCCATTTTCTTAGGAACATTATCAGTGAGTACTTTATTGCTGTCAGTAAATAAAATAGACTATATTTGTTTACTCGAAACCTAGAGACACATATTGTTCAAATTAATTACAAAAGCTATAAAAGGAAAAGAAATGATTAATTATATTAAAGACATACTTAACTCAGCATGAAAATAAGTATATACTGGGATATTTAAAAAATTATGATAGAAAGAACAGTCTCAAAGAATTTTTTTCTTTTGTCCTGTCTCTACAATTCCCAATTTGGTTTTGGTAGAAAATCAAATCTTATTTAATATGTCTTTATGAACATCTGGTAGTGGGTGGGAAAAGCAGATCTCTGAATTGAATTTTTGCTTCCCTTACACAGGAAACTATTAAAGAAGTGATACCTTCCCCATTTTTATTACACTTTAAAAATGATCAAGATTTTCAGAAAACAAATGCAGTAAAATCTAGAATCAACATTGAATCTGTAAATTGACCTTGCTTTTGGGTATCTTCACTCATTCTTTGAGGCAAACTCATTTATGTATTATATTTCCTCCTGTATGTCTTCTCATCTGTCTTTGCTTTCTTTTTTCTCAATTTAAGAAATCAAGAAAAACGGTTTGAGGGCTCAGACTCTTAAAGTTGAAGACAGATTCCTTGGGTTGAAGTTCCAGCTCTGCCATTTTCCAAATTCAATTTTTTCTATGCCTAATATTAGTAATAGTAAAATGACAACATCACTGAGATTATTTATTATATAGTACAGAGGGGTTAAGTAACTTGGCCAAGGTCATGTAGCACTAACTACTAGAGAAAAAGCCTCACCTTTACAGAAACATCAGGCAGAGGCAAATTAATCCTGACCCTCCCATTCAAATCCAGGAAAGCAAAATTCCATTCAACCCACCAGTTTTGACTGAGTATGTGCAGAAACAGGACAACACTTCTGGCCTTTGGGCCTTAATAGTCTCAAGGGGAGGTGATGAGGAAGTCGCCCAGATACTTATGCATGAGAAATAGACATGGAAAAGAGTTTGAGGAGCTTAGTTAAGCATGGAAGTGGGGTGAGGGCCTGGAATGAATCAGGAAAAGCCACAGAGAGGAGGGACATTGGAAAGGCAGTCTTACAGCATGCTCTTCAGAACTATCTTGAACCAACTGACTGCTAACATAGAACATGATTTTTGTAGTAGTCCTTCCAAAGTTAATTGGTAAAGCTAGTCTGGTGTACATAGGGTGACCAGCTGTCCTGTTTACTTGGGACTCTGAAGGGTTTCCCAGGATTTTTTTGAAAATTATTTTATTATATTATTTTATTTTATTTTAATTGAAGTACAGTCAGTTTACAAGGATGTGGGATTTTAAGTTTTAAAACTGAAGAGTTAAAACAGTCCTGGACAAAACGTAAGAGTTTACTGCCACTGCAGAAGTAAGCTATAACAATGCTTGTTAGAATTTGTTGATGACCTGTAATGTTCTAGATGGACACTGTTCTAAGCACTTTCCATGTGTTTAGCTCATTTAATTCTTCCAATAACCTCACCCTCTGTTGAATACTGTCATTAACTCCATTATGCAATGAAGGATATCAAGGCACAGATTCTCAAGGCCATGAATCCGGGAAGTTGTGGGGCCAAACCCAGACATTGTCCTTCTGGAGTTGACCTTCTTCACCTTTGTTCTATCCTGGGCAAATTCAAAAGAGCCAGTTGTGTTTTATGTCTGAAGATCTAGGTTCCCCCGGTAAAATCGGAAGGGTCAGATTTGAGAGCCAAAGCATTAACATTGCCTCTAGTTAGACTGATTTGAGCCAAGGGCTGCCATAGTTCCAAGTTCATGACTCTCTAGGGCAGAATTTCTCCAGCTTTGGATGAAGTTCTTGGTCTCTAGGACACTTTGCAATGGGCTTGTTCCCAGACAAGTTTAAATGGGACTACTCGATCTCAACACTGCTCAACTAGTATTTTTCTCTCTTTTAAAAAATAAGCTGTCATTAGTTGGGAATGTATTATGTGTCTGCCATTGTTCTGAACACCTTGCCTATATGAAATAATTTATTCCTTATTTCTTGTATTAGTCATACGCATGCCAACAGAAGAAGAGAAATTTGAAAGTTAGCTTTTAATCCTCTTTCAAAATTGATGATGGCTAGTTGGATACTATAAATCCATGGGGAATGGAAAATGCTTCTGCTCCAATTAGTATTTTTCCTAATATGTAAGTGATTTTGTTTTCTCACAGCTAATCTCTGCTTTTGCAATATTCTGATTTATAACCCATTTGTGTCCCTTTTAAACACAAACTCACTCTCCCAGTCAAAGGTCTTCTATGGAAATGTCCTTAGAAGTGATTCTTGGTGACTCAGAAACTTGTGATCTTGGTTAAAAGGAGCTTTGGAAATGCTATTGTTTGTTTGTTTTTATAGGTTTTATCAGGCGGCTTACATGCCCCCACGCTTTAGGGGAGAATGAGAAGCCACCAGCATCTGCAGTCTTTGTTGAGTCATTTACTTAGTGTTAATGCTTTGAGGCAGAATGGATTTGAATGGAAGGGGTGTTTTTTTCTAATTCTCAAGGGCTCCAGAGCCTTAGATTTCTATTGCCAGAATGCCTTTGTTTCAAGTGGGATTTCCATTTCTTCTCAAGTTTTATATTACCATAAGGCTAACAGACATAAAAATTCGTATCTCTGTCTAACTACCCTACTCAGAAACTTCATTTTTTCTCCCTCCTTCAAAATTTCCAAGGAGGGAGAAACCATATCTTTCCTATGAAAACCAAGCCTAGTAAATCAAAAGCCTTTATGGTAAAGAAAGGCAAACCTTGCATTCTGCCAGCCAGTCTCATCAACAATGAATTATATTGATAGTATTTTGTACATATCCTTACCAAAAAAATACTTTCCTTTGTCTAGAGCCGTGCCTGGCACCAACCAATAAATGCTTCATTTAAAAAACTTTCTATTTTAAAATACTTTCAAACTTTAAAGAGTTGCATGAATAGTACAGATTCAGCAATTGTTAATCATTTGCTTATCTTGATATCTACATTTTACTTATACGTACATTTTTAATGAACCAACAGACATCATGCTCCTTTATGTTTAAATAGTTCAATATATATGTCCTAAAACCAGACATTCTCTTAAAAAACTTGAGACAACAGAAAACATTTATTGATCTCTGCCCCCAATTCCTGACACAGAGCTCCTGAAACCTTTGTAAATTCCTAAGCGATAAGACACTAGGAATATATTTTTTGTTTTATTAAGGTGATACCGGGTGGTATCTTGAATGGCTCCTGGATGGGAGCTGGTCACCAGAAAGACTAAGCCACTATTAGAAGCCTGGAATTTTCAGCCCCATCCTCCATCCTCAGGGATAGGAGAGGAGTTAGAAATGAAGTTAATATTTGATCTTGAGGAAGCCTCCGCAAAAACCCAATAGTATGGGGTTTGGTGAGCTTCCTGGTTGGTGAACACATCTACACCCCAACTCCTTTGGGCCAGAAGTTCCTGTGCTCAGGATCCTCCCAGACCTTGTTTATGCTCTTCATTTGGCTGTCCATCTGTATCCATTATCATATCCTTTAATGGGGGTGCGGGGGGTTGGCTCAAGTGGTAAAGCACATGCTTAGCATATACAAGGTCCTGGGTTCAATCCTCAGTACCTCCTCTAAATATAAATAACTAAATAAACAAACAAACAAACAAACCTAACTACCTCTCTCCTAAAAAATAAATAAATAACATAAAAATAAAATTAAAAATTAAAAAATCATATCCTTTAATAAACTAGTAAACGTGTTTTCCTGAGTTCTGTGAGCCACTCTAGCAAATTAATTAAACCCAAGGAGGGGGTTATTAGACCTCCCCACCTATAGCCAATTGGTCAGAAGCACTTGTGATAATCTGGATTTGCAACTGGTGTCTAAAGTGAGTATGTTGGGTCATGCAGTGGGCGGCAGTCTTGTGGGACTGAGCCCTTATCCTGTGGAATTTGATGCTTTCTCCAGGTAAATAACTTCAGAATTGAGTTAAATTGCTGGACACTCAGCTGGTGTCACATAGAATTGCTTGGTGTGGGAAAAAAATCTCTTGGTGACCAGAAGTGTCAGAAATGAAGTAGTGAGAAGGAAAGGAGACTCACAGGGAAGAAGCACACAGGTGGAAAGCTGATTTTTTATCCTTTTCAATAGCCACGGTGTAATTGTCAAATCTGGGTAATTTATTATTGTTATAATATTCACCTAATATATTGTTTATATTTAAATTTTACCAATTGACCCCAAAAGGTCTTTTTAGCAATTTTGACCCCCTCTTCCAGGATCCAATTCAAGATCACACATTGCACTTTGTGGTTGTTCTCTTTAGTTCCTAGTTAACCTTAAACAATAAAATAGTCATTTCTTTTACCAGTAAAATGGGTTTACTCAGGTGGAGAAAGAATTAACAATTGCGGACAGGCAACTGTGGCAAACCACATGCAAGTTAGGTAAAGAAAAGAAGAGGAAACTCTTATAGAGGGAATGGGGAAGTTGAGAGGGGCTGTTATAAACAAAATGTTCACTGGAGGAAACTGGGAGTCTGAAGTGTAGTGCCCTTTCACTGGCTGAGTTGTGACTGTCTCTTATTGGCTGAGCTCTTGCCAGGAAAGGAGAAAATCTTTCTTTCTGCTAGTGGTAGCGAAGATGTGTCACTTCCTGCTGGAGATGCAAGGTGTGTCTCTTCCTGTTGGGATTTGTATTGACATAGAGTGGTACCTGAGTGAGACCTCCCGCTCCTGGTCTCCTGACTCTATTTTAGTGAGGTTTCCCTTTAAATCTGGAGGAGTTCTTTGGCCTTTTTTTGTCCTTCATAACACTGACATTTTTGAAGGCCACTTGTTTCATAGACTGTCACTCAATTCTGTTTCCTCACAATTAGATTCAGAGCATGTGCTTTGGGCAGAAATGCTACACACGTGTCCTAAGGGTGTCCCATCAGGATGCATGTGATCTCAGTTTTCTCCACTATTTGTAACATTAACAATAGATGCTTCTTGAACTGAGTAGCTAAGTTGAGGTTCCTTATAATCAAACAGATGGATTTTGTTAATTCTTTCTTCTCTTCTATTTGTATTATTAAAAACTAGTCTGTCTTTAAAAATCTTGCTCTGATGAATCACAGAGGTGGGATTAAGTCAGAGTGGCTAAGAGCACAGGCTTTAGTGCTTGACACAGTGGGTCAAATCCCTGATCTCACTTAGCAATTGTGACCTTGAGCAAATTAAGTCACCCCTTGGCTTCCTCATTTGGAAACTGTAATAAGAGTGTCTGCAGTTCATTTATCTTTAATGAGGATTCAATGAAGCAGTGAATGTAATAAAGTACTTAGGTCTTAGCCTGGCAAAAGTAAGTGCTCAATAAAAACTAGTGATTGTTATTATTATAATTAACACATACAATGGCAAGGAGAGACAGCTGGTTCTCCCTAAAACTTTCTCAACTTCTTTTGCCATTGGGATGGGGCCATATGATCAATTCTGGCCACAGGACTATAGGGGGAAGTGCCATGTGCCACTCTAGGCTGAGGCCTTTACAAGATGGTATGCCGCCCCCTATCTTGCTCCTCCCCTGCCAAAGTGACCTTGGAGGCTGCATGTTCTAGATGGAGTAGCTACAACGTGGAGATAGGCTGCCTATCACATACAGAGTTTAAATAAATAAGATGTAAACCAGTGGGGTGGGTATAGCTCAGTTGTAGAGCACATACGTAGTATGCATGAGGTCCTGGGTTCAATCCCCAGTAACTCCATTAAAAAAAAAAAAAGAAGTAAGCCTTTTTGCTTTAAGCCAGTGAGATTTCAAAGTTTGTATTTTAGTATAGTAGAATTGGATACTTCGTTGATTAATTTAAGCAGCACATCCCCATAATGTGTTAATAATGACTTGACAATTATTCAAAAAACTAAAATAGTAGATTCTATCTTCACTGATAGCTGACTCTATGTTTACTGATACTCATTCAACAAATATTTGAGTTCTAACTGTGTGCCTGACTGTTGAGGCAAATGGCAAGCAAAATTAAACAGGGTTCCTGTAATCATGATGGCAATAGTCTAGTGGGGGAGACAGGCATTAAGCAAATAATAGCATAAGCAGATGCAAAAGTGTAGCATAGTCTTATGATATGAAAGGGAAAGGACTGCAATGCTATGAGAGGCTATAATTGACAAATGAGATCTACCACTAGCTCCATGATCTTGGGTAACTTGACTTGGTAGTCTCAGTTTTTTTCTCTGGATTAGTAAATTGGCCTAGCTGATCTTGAAAGTCCCTTCCAGCCCTCATATTCTATATTTCTGTGTGGATTCCTCTTTTTTCCTTGTTTGTGTGAGCACTTTTTAATTTAAAAAAAATTTAGCAGAAATATTGGCTAGCACATGAGGCAATGTGACTTCTTTTCCTACTGCTAATTTAAATCCAATTGTGTTAGGCATTCTCCCTCAATGTTTTTGCTGAAGCTTTGGAATAATGCTTACTAATCATTCTCAGGGGAACTTTCTGAGCTATTAGTAAGCAAGTTTCATTGAGTAACAAGGGCAGGATGCTTACATCCATTTAGCAAAGATGACCTTCTCTGGGATGGAATTTGAAAAGCACCTGAAGAAATATTTCCCTCTCTAGCTACCTGAATTCCCATACTACTCATAACTTCAGAAAATCTTTGATTGACAATGAAAATGTTTACTTGGGAACAAGATCATTCTTTCTTTTTTTCTAATGCTCGAGTGTGAGTGTCTTATGGTAGCTAGAAGTCTCTGAGAGATGAGAACGGGAAAGAGCTCAGTAAGATCTGGAACTTGAGGGACTTGGCCAGAGAATGCAGACTTGAGTCTGTATGCAGAGGTAGCACGCTCGTGGAAGGCCCTGGCTGCCAAGCTGAAAAGACCACCCACAATGAAGGATCAAGGGACATTAACTTTACTTCACAATGTTGCCAAGGGCCAACAATGAGTGCCTGACATGTTTATTACCAAAGAAGTTCACTGCCTCATACCAAGCACCATAATAATGCAAAATAGTGGTCTTACATAATTTAAAGAAAGAAGTACTTCACGTCAGAGAAGGGGCACGATTTTCCCCCTTGTAATGATTGGAGGTCTTTGCTACGAGTTCCATATCGTTTGTATACCTTATTAGGTAGGTGTCAAAGAGGACAAGGACCCCCCCCCCCCAAAATTAGTGCAAACATCAATTCATGTGACTCTGATTCCCATGTTGATGCCAGCGAAAAAGCCAATACATAACTGCAAAATAACTTTTAAAAAAATTACATGACTAAGCAAAACTGGTATTAACAAGCCAGTTCTTCTTTTTGTAAAGGACTCGAAACTTGCTAACATAATAGGAGCAGTTTTCTCATGCCCATAGAACCATTTTCACATCCCACATCTTGCCAGTTTGGTTCTTCCTTCCTATATTGCTTAAAAGATTGTCAGATATTTTGAAGGAGAGAAGAAGTCAATTAAAATACATTTAGACTGTTCTTTAAAAGTTCTGATAGGAGAATTTAAGATATCAGAAACAATTAAATATGAGGGTTCTTTTTAAATTGAAGTACAGTTGATTTTTTTTTTGGTTGGGGGGTAATTAGGTTTACTTATTTATTTTTTGTTTATTTTTAGAAGAGGTACTGGGGATTGAACCCAGGACCTTGTGCATGCTAGGCATGTGCTCTACCACTGAGCTATACCCTCCCCCTGGTTTATTTTTTTATTTTTTTTGAGAAGACAAAGAACTTTAATTAATATTCTGTATCCTTGAGGAAAAATGCTAAATTGTGTTACTAGTAAATATGATTTTTTTCCAGTCATTCAAGCAAAGTAATTTACTTCATATTGTTCTTGAGTTGTCTCAAACATTATGTCCATATATAGCTTGTAAGGAACTTTAAAAAAAGAAAACATTTCTCCATGATAGTACACATATCTAGTACTGTGAACCACCAGGGATCTGGTGGTTTTCAAATCTTTTTCTTTCTTGAATCAGTGAAACTAGTTTCTGTAATAAACTCTCATGGCATATAAAACACATGAAAGCTACCCTGGTGGGAGAGGTCATTGAGGACCTCAACGCAAACTCAATCCAGTGTTTATTTCAAATAACCTTTTTTGCTTCACTACTTTATCACTGGAGTCCAGAGGAGTATCTGGCACACATATTTGTTAAAGGAATTTATTACGCTGCCTCAATCAATATCAAATAGAAATCATCACTCATAATACATATTAGTAAATTTATTTTAAAAATAATATAATAATAGAGACTATTACTTAGTATATTTTTCAATTGTAGTATACTCAGTTTACAATGTTGTATCAGTTTCTGGTGTACAGCATAATGTTTCAGTCCTACATATACATATATATATTCGTTTTCATATTCTTTTTCATTATAGGTTACTACAAGATGTTGAATATAGTTTCCTGTGCTATACAGTTGTTGTTTATCTATCTTATATATAGTGGTTAGTATCTGCAAATCTCAATTTTCCATAATGTATTATTTTTAATGATAGTAATTGGCCAAGTAGTAGTTAGCCTTAAGATACATATTAGTACTTGGCAAAGCAGTATGAATACTTTTTCATCTGAGAAATATATTTTGAGTTCAAGAGTATTCTTTGCCAAAGTGAACCAAAAAGCTCAAGTAGCTGGTGTCCACTTTGCCTGGACACTCTTTGGTTTTTGCATGACTGGCTTCTTCTCTTTCACCCTTTAAGCTTCAGTTTAAATGTCACCTTCTTCTAGGCCTTCCTTGACACATCTATCTAAAATAGTCCCCTTTCCCCAGTTAGTTCAGTTTAATCACATCAACCTACCTATTTCCACCACAGAATTTATTACAATCTATACTTACTTTATTTGTTTACATGTTGAAAGTGATATGTTCTGCCTCCTTTGGGCCAAGGCCCAGGGCCAAGCACAGTGGCTGGCCCACTGCCAGGGCTCGATGAGTATTTGTTAAATGAATGGATGAATAAGTGAGCAAACATGTGTAGTGTCCAAGAGGACACAGCTGCCCATGATGAGCTGAGTATTTAATAGGAGTTTGAATATAGTTTGTGCTTGGAAAGGCTGTGGATGGAGGGGTTCCCCAGCCCTAGAGAGGCAATCTGAAGGGACAGAAGATTTTAATATCAATTAATATCAGTCCTCTGTTTGAACATCCCAAATCCGCTTCTTTCTACCTATGGCACTTAATCTCACTTTCCTCAGCTGTAAATGGGAACAATAATGTCAATCTTGACCTGCATTAATAAAAATCCCTTTTTTTCCATATATACCAATATGGTTCACATGAGGCAAGGGGACTCTATATGAGTGCCTCATTGTGTGTATTTGGGAGATGGAAGGCAGGGGGTGGGATGACTTATCTTGAGCCAATGAATATAGTTTCATTAAATGGATTGAAACCCAACTGGGAATATTTGGAATTTAGTTGGAAAGGG